ACGTTCTGGCTGCCATGGTCTTGGCTCGCTCCTCCAAGGCAGCTGGTAGGAGTCCAAGGCAATTTGTGTTTTGCCTATTACTTTGCTTCAGCAGTACTTACCTTAAACAGTAGTTGTGTTAGCTGTGCATTTGCCCAAATGCCAGCCCTATAAATCAATCCTGGTTTCACCGTCATTTCCAAGATGCTTCATCTTCGTAGGGAACAGATGCAAAACTGCCTGGCTGTTTTCTCCAGAGCTGGACCTGGAGCTTGCTACATCTCACACAGCCGGCTTCCTCGGAGGAGCTAACGGTCTGTGAACTCATAATGCAGATACTGATAACAACATCACATCCCATCTGCAAAAAAACGGTGCATACTTCAAAAATCTTTTCACACAGTTCTATTTTAAAGGTAGGTAGGGCTGCCGGGTGGAGCCTTGTGGAAGCTGCTATTTGTCAGGAATAAAAAGCCCTTTTGCATTCCACATTAACTCTTCGTGTGCTTAGAGAGAATGGGTTGACATGCCTGCGTTGTTTGACTCTGGTCTCTGTCTGCAGAGATGGTGCTACCATCGCTTCATTGGTGTCTCCTCGACCACGGGCCGCGTAATTGCTGATTTGAGAGGTGATTGCAGGTGACATCTCAGTATAGGTTTCCTAGTAGGTATATGCTTTTTTTAATGTGTGTGAGAAAAATTGATTTGATATAAGGGTTAGGGTAAAACTGATTTTTTTAGAATAGAAAATCAGTACTGGCCAAGGCATGGTAGGGCATGTCTTTAATCCCAGCACTTGGGAGATAGAGGCAGGCGGATCTCTGTGAGTTCAAGGCCAGCCTGGTGTACAGAGTGAGAAATGTCTCAGCACTGCGTGTGTTTAGTGGTAAAGGTGTGTAATCCCAGCGCTTGAAAGGCTGAGGCGGGAGGAGTACAGATTTGAGGCCACATAGGAAGATTCTGTTTGATATAAAGTAGCATGCCAGCATGGCAAGGCTGTAATGGTGGGATATGAGCGACTGAGGTCCTTAAACATGTATGGAGTATGTGAAGCTTCCCAAAGCTTCAGACAGCGGGAAGGTGGAGCATGAAGAGGGGAGAGACTCCATGCACTGTGCTCTCGTCCGTCCTGAGTCTGGGGCTTAGCTCTGGGCATCAGCCCCTGATGTGACTGCAACCCCGCATGGCATCCATCTACTCTAATGCAGAGTGTTCCTTGCAAACTGCTGTTGCCCAATGTGGGCTAAATCCTGCTGCGTCTAAAGCCCCAGACCCTTGCTGTGTAGCTTGTGGCTTTACAGCACAGCTGGAGCCAGCCTTGCCTGCCTTGGAGCTTCGCTGTTGCCTTGGAGAAGATAAAGGGCCATGGAAAGATTGTTTCTTGACTTGGCTTAGACCCAAACCTTAGGAGGCTTTATTTAGCCCCTAAGCTCTGCAGAAGCTCAGGCCAGAGCTGGCCACGGCTTATCAATAGATACTGCCGTAGTGACCTAGTGTGTTGATTTGGGGCCCTCAAGATGACAAACTTTCAGCCTATCAGTCGAGCAAATTGTGTCAATTGCTGGGGATGATGGTGCCCACTAGGGTTGCAGCTTGTAAACCCAGATTGGAGAGAAAGAGGTGATGGCTCTCCTGTGTCAGGGAAAGGCTAGCTTCGTGGCAGAGCATTTGCCCAGAGGGTCGGTGCATACTGGGCATCTCTGGAAAACATGTTGAGAACTGTTTGTATTACCGGTGTCCAGCACGTAGTAGAGAAGCAACAAATGAATTCTGAGCACTGGTATTTTATGAGACACGGACTGAAGAAACAGTTGTGGATTTCCAGGTTTTGTTTTTAAGTTCATTGAGTGCACTGCCCGAGAGCAGCAGCTGGGCACACAGAGCCAGGTACAGCCATTTCCATATTGTTCCACAGCAGAGACACCCCACCCAAAGATGGAAGTCTCTTCAGTGCTAGCTGAGCAACAGGCTTACTGCCAGTTAAATTTATGGAGCTTAATATCACATCATTAAACTCTCAGCTGCCTATACCCCATGCTAGCTTGAATTTTAGAACAGATGTAGCCCAGAATGCAGATTCGTGGAGTTGACTGATTATTGCCTTTTGAGAGTGAGTCTTCAGAGATCTTTCCTCAAAACCAGTCTTTGGGATAGGATTCTGAGGCGAGGGTCTTGTTAGAATGGACTGTTAGAGGCAGTCCGTTGCTCTACCGTGGAAGGTTTCTCTGGAGTAGGGCCTGCAGACCACCAGTTCTCTAGAGTCTGAGGAGCACTGCAGTGAGGGCCACCTTCTCACAGTGTTTGCCTTGGATGTCAGGGATCAGGATCGAGGTGCAGTAGGGAGCAGTGGCCTGTAAGTTGGAGGGCAAAGGGCCAGTTAGGTTTGGGAAGCAGCTGGCAGGGCCACTGTGGGTCTGATCTTGAGGGCTGGAGCTCAGCTGCTAACTGTGGTCTGTATGCCAGGGTGTGTTAGAGGCTGGGCTGTTTGCAGGCAGCTGGCCATTTACACCCTCTGCGCCTCAGGCCCTAATGCGCACACCCGGCAGGTTGTGAGGCAGTGGTGGAGAGCACTGAGGGCAGTTCCTGGTACTTACGAAGCCATCAGTAAATAACTCTGCCCTTCCTTAATGTGGGTCTGTACTGGGCTCCTGACGCTGCCAAAACAAATGGCCACAACTTTCTTGTGCAGCTTCTGGAAGCTCTCAAGGAATAAATCCATTTCACCTTTTCCCCGCATTACCATTCTCCAGCCTAAAATCCAGCAATTTAGGCTTTACCCCCAACCTCATTGTCACCCCACTGATCTCCTGCTTCCCTCTTACAAGGACCCCTGTGACTGCTTAGGGCCCTCACCTATGTAACCCAGGAATTTCCTCAAGTTTAATCCCAGCCACAACATTTTAGTCACTAAAGTAATGTGGCCATATGTTTGAGGAGCAAAATGTGGACATCCTGTGGAGTCCCTGATGTCTTCCCTGAAATGTGAGGTAACGTGTCAGAGTCTGGAGGCAACAACCTTCAGACATTTGTACCACTTAGGAAAAGGTGTGATGGGTACTTCTTCAGGAAGCCTTCAGGGACACCAGGGTGGGTTTACCATGTAGCCTGAGAGGTTTCGGTGGCTTGATACACTTTGGGGGTTCACATTAAGAGTGCGCAGTTGATGCCTAGGAGGGAGCTGTTTGAGGCAACAGGTATATAAGTACAAGATTGGAAAGGTGTAAGAGAGGGAACAGATCATCTTCAGGGTTTTTGAAAGGAGGAGGAGTTGGTCTTGGGGTGGATCCCAGCTCTGTCTCTTTTAAGTCTCATTTGTTTCTCATATAATGGGAAAATATGGAACTCGCTTCAGTGTGGGTGTCTGAGGGCCGAAAATCAAGTATGGAAGTATGGAGAGGAGTTAAAAGGCTTTCCTAGTGAAGGTCAGATGTGACACAGTGTGGAGGCTTGTCTTGCGGAAGAAGAGTACAATGCACTTGTAGCAAAGGCTTGAGGGAGATCACCCACTAGCCAGGAAGGTCACCGCAAGGCCATGCAGGCCTTAGGTGCTGAGGCAGGAGGAAGAAGTGGCACTTCAGCCATGCTGTTGAGAAGAGCTGTCAAGGGCCACATCGCTACAAAAGAGCCCCGCTTCAGGGGGGCTGAGTGTGGCTAGCTTGTCGGGAAGGCAGAATTTGCTAGGCCTTGGCCCTGGGAGAAATTGGGAGGTAGGGAAGACCCGGGGCTGCAGCCCAAGTTGAAATTTATTGTCTTTTATTTATCACTGTTTTCCTCTCCTACTAGATTATAAACCAGGTGGCAGCAGGGACAGAGCTTCCTGTTTGCTCCCTGTTGTAGCTATTGGGCCTGCTGTGCATTTAGTAAATACGTGTTGAATAAACAGATAGGTGAACCTGTCTCTCCTAATTGAATTCTGCAGTATTTATATGAAGCCCTTGACCAGAAGGTATTCTTGGAAGATTGATTTTTACTGCAGTGGGCTGGAGAGAGGGAGGATTCAGAGGTCAGTTAGGAGAACTTGGGTGGGAGGAATCAATTCTGGAGATAGTCAAGAAAGCTTCCAAGCATGGCAGAAGGGAGATAGAAGGACCGAAGAGCAGCCAGGAATAAAGCTTGAGGATCCCACATGGTGAAAATTGCGTGATTTTCACCGAAGGTGAATTTTTAATATTTTTTCTGTACCGGCCACTGTATAGTTGGAGACATCCAGATTAAACAGGGCATGGTCTCCACCACAGGGGCACAGTCATTGAGGAGGGAGGGAGATCTAGCCCGGGTCTGCGCCTAACCTCCTGAGGTAAGCGTGGGTGGCTCACAGCTGACACCTGTTCTGCTGCTGAGCCCCTAGGACAGGAAGATCTCCGCACAAGTGGCCACAAGGCCGGAGCGCCCATGCCAGTTTCCGTCCCATTCTTTCTAACCTTGTCTCAGTTTATATATCACTTCCTCTGGGGGGAAGAGGGGGCGACCTGTCTGTCCTCTGCTGTTCATCCCACATAACCAAGCTCAACCTCAGTCATGAGAGAATGTCTTTATCCCCTCTTCCCTCTTCAGACCACGTGTGAAGCAGGTCCTTGGTGACCCTGGTTAACAGTATAAGTTTACTAGGTCGAAAATGGTTAAGTGCAGAAGTGCTGAGAAAGGACGGGAGAGACACAACACAAGATGGTAGCAGGAATATGGGTGATTGCTGTTTCTTTTACGTCTTAGTATTTTCCAAAGTTTCTGCAGTATAATGTCAGTATAATGTCATGCTCCATGAGCATGGAGGCTCATGACTACAATCTCAGCACAGGAGATGTTGAGGCAGGAGTATTGCTGTGGCTTTCCAGACCAGCTTGGGCTACATAATGAGATTCTGTGTGAAAACAAACAACAACAGTAATATTAATAATAATAATGGCTTTTTATCACCCTTGAACATGTTGGTTAAAAGTGAGAAAAATGCAAAACAAAAAAAGACGTGTTGAGCTGTGGTCCTTTTCTCACGAGCTGCCTGCTTTTGGCTTGCTTTCTTGCAGGTGGAGGCAGGGAAGGGCCTGGAGATGAGGAAACTGGTTCTCTCGGGCTTTCTGGCCAGTGAAGAGATCTACATTAACCAGCTGGAAGCCTTGTTGCTGGTGAGTGCCTGGGCGCTGGGGTCGGGGTCGGGGTGGAGATGGCTCCCTGCCAACCAGTGTCCTGCTCTAAAACTGCTCTCAGGTTTTAAAGGAAGGGGACCCATAGAAGACAGAAAGCAGTGCTGGGGGGCCGGTCACTCACTGCCACCCCTCCATGACCTTAGTCTGAGAGGCGGGCAAAGACTCACGGTGTGGGAGCAGGAGCCTCTCATCAGCTGTGATGACTGTGATGCTCTGTTACAGACTGATACAGTGTTTTTACCCAAACTAGCGTCTACCAGTCAAGTAAGCTGAGATGTTTTCGGAACCTTTGGTCCAAGTCCTTCCTCTTCCCCAGGAAAGGAGACCATTAACAGCATCGTGAAAGTGAGATGGAAGATGTCTGTTTTTAAAAGTGCTGTGGCTCAGAAGCGTTAGATCAGCCTGAGCTCTCAATAAAGATGAAGGTGGTGTTGTGTGAATCAGATCGGGTGATGACTATTAAGACATTCTCCAGAGATAAAAGCAGCACACAGATGCTTTTGCCTTTGAAGAAAGTGCTTATTAGATGCATCTGGGTATTATGCACAGTGGTTGTATGGTGTAAATTCTTCTCTCTGAGTGTTGTGCAGTCAGATGGCATAAAAAAAACTGTTTTAAAAAAACCTGAGCTGCCGTAGTGGTGCACATCTTAATCCCAGCACTGGGAGACAGAGGCAGGTGGCTCTCTGAGTTTGAGGCCAGCCTGGTCCACAGAGTGAGTTCCACGACAGCCAGAACTACACAGAGGAACCCTGTTTCAGAAAACAAAACAAATAAACAAAAGTAGGAGGATCATCATGAATTTGAAGTCAGTCAGGGCTATGTAGTGAGCTTCAGGCCAGTCTGAAACCTTTGTCTCAAAACACTAAAAAGACAAACGAAGCAAACAAATAAAAACCCCAGAGACTCAGAGATGAATATGGGTTGGTAGGATGGTCCTCATAAGTCAGGTACACATTTATATACTTGGTATGAGATGCAATGTCATTCAGTGTCCCAGAGGTCTTGACATGTATTACTCAAGGAATGACTATTGGAGTGTAAAGCTACTTTGCAGAGCCCTGCGCTGAACTTGTTTCAGGATCTCCTTGGGAGGTTAGTGGGAAACCCAGTGGTGACTTCCAAGTGGGAGACAGTGGCAGACAGGAGTGCAGTCTGGGACGGAGCCAGGGCTAGGACACAGCCTTACCCTGCCGTTAATAGCGTGGCTTCCACACTCTGCATCTCAACCCCTCCGTGGCTTGTGTGTGTAGAGGTTTAAATTTTTCTTTAAGACTTTATTTATCTTATGTATATGAGTGCTCTGATATCATATAGACCCGTATGCCAGAAGAGGGCATCAGATCCCAGTATAGATGGTTGTGAGCCACCGTGTGGTTGCTGGGAATTGAACTCAGGACCTCTGGAAGAGCAGACATTGCTCTTAACCACTGAGCCATCTCTCCAGCTTCCTGTGTGTAGAGGTTTAAATCAGCATTTTAAAACAAATGGGAGAAGGATGTCAGTATGCATCAAAACTTGTACCAGTTAGGTGCTGTCCACATGTGTGTGTGGCCGATATGCAGGGACACTTCTTTTATCCATGCCTCCCCTCTCCCTACCCTTGTCTCTTTCTCACTTTCTCAGGTAACCCAGACTGGCCTTGAACTCCCTTTGTAGCTGAGGCTAGCTTTGAACACTTGATCCTTTACTCCATTTCCCAAGTGCTAAGGTTACACTTATGTGCAGACCCGCTACATTATTTCTTAAATGTTTGTGCATTCAAAAACCACTGCTTTGCTAGATGTTAGAGTGTATGCTTGTAATCCCAGCTCTCCATAGGCTGAGGCTAGCCTGAGCTAGATAATGAGGCCTTGTCTTAAAACAGATAAGACCACTGTCTTTGGAAAGATAAACATAAACTCTTTGATGCTTAGTTTTCTTATTTGAAAATGATCCTTCTGTGGAGGATCTAGTCCAAGACCACTGTCATCTGCAAAACCTTGGATAGTACCGCATCCTGAACACACTGTGTCTTTTTCTATGCATACAAACCTGTACACAGAATAGACACAGTATGATATTTGCAGTTATTAATAAAGTTGAATGATGGTAGCGGTGTACCGTAATAAAAGGCATGTAGCATAGCCTCTGTCTTCAAGATTCCAGACACGCATTGGTGTTTTCAGAGTGTGGGTGACCACAGGTAACTGATGGTAGCAAGACAGTTGATACCTCTTTCCCTGGGTGGAGAAGCTCAAGCGATC